AAACTCAAAAAAAATTCCCTTTTGATTCTTGCTATATAATGTTTCGAGGCATTTCGCTGTATCTGATAGCCACATCACCAGAAAGCTCGGCGTGAAATGTCTTCGATTTTATTCAGCTGTTGCGACGCTTTGAACGCACTTACGCTAGGCCCTTTTGTTTGGTTGCCAAATTGAAACACCCGTTTAAACGAACACACACACACACACAGACATAAATACATAAAAACACAGACATCATGGGTCGTCACAGCGTGCGCTTTTACTGACTGTTGCAATACCTCGACGCTGCTTGCATCTGCATCATGCGTACAGGCCGGACAAATATATCTGCAGAACAAACAGCAGTTTATGGAACTAGACAAGTTGCGAAGTTGAAGTTTTACAAGGATATTCGCTTGGCATATACGATTCAAAATCTTCAAACTCAGCTTTGCGGCATGTTTAGGTTTCGTGATAGGCGCAAAAAAAAATTTCAGTTTCGGGCGATTTTTGCACCGATTTAATTTTACGGTTAGATTGGTTAGGAGGCCGAAATTTCGTGAGAATGTTCGTTGTCCCTCTTCAAGCCTGTAGGCGTAAAACAAGCTTCCGCCATGCGTGTATTTCGCACAGGGAAGCATCAAATTTTCGAACTGCAATACTTTCGTCATTTCCCACCCCCGGCAATCAAACAGGCGAAGAAGAACAAATCTTGCGAGAAAGCTTACATATTCTATCCGGAATACAATCTTTCACAAAGCCTACATCTTGTCTGCGTGCACGGAAAACTTGAGGCTGCAGATCGTCCATAACTTCTCATCAGTGTAATCATATACACCGAGTGTTGGAAAATCACGTGATCTCATAATGCAGCACTACGTCCTGCTCGTTAGCCGACGTCCTTTTCCCCGAACATGCAAGAAAGAACGAAAGCACTGCCAATATGAAAGCATAATTTAGGCTGTGAAGCAGCAAACATTTATACTAATAATAATCTGATGGTTTCAAAGCTAGCGCAAAAACACATGATTTACTATATATTTAAGCATCAAAAAACTCGTTTTGAGGTCTTTAAATTAATCACAAAGTTAAAAATAGATTGCACGGTAAAAAAGGGGTTAGGTCATTGTTCGGGCGAACGGACACCTTTTCGAGCAAACAGCTTTCTCACTACTTAGTAAACACTAATAATTCATCGAGAAAACAGTTTTACCGCTGTTAAAGATTCTGGCTTGTTTGTTTTGAGTTGCTTGAGATCAAACTTTATAAATTTTACTGGTGATTTAATGGATTTATGATTCTGCACTGGTGAACATCTTTCAGGAATTAACGCTACTGATTTACAGAAAACTGGTAATTTGTTTCTTTTTCTCTTCCACATTTGGATATTTGGCCATGCTGATAAAAAAGAAATTGACACCGGCGTTAATATTTATTATACTTTTACTCGATCTTCTAGCATTTACATTAATTTTACCGCTTTTTCCGGCACTAATCGAATTCTACGGTTCGAACCAGCGAAGAGTATGTGCAAAATCCTTCAATTTCAAATCATAAATTCCCTGGCTGTTCCACCTTTACGGGAGGCGATTGCAGTTTCGGTTTCGGCCAGTGTAGGTGCTTTGGCTTGTAGGATGTAACTCATAGTAGAGCCGAATATCAGTCAAGAATTATTTGAGAAAAAAGCTGAACAAGAAAAAATTTATTACATTGCAGAGTTTGCTTATTTAATTTAGCTATCGAAACGAATCAGTTATGCATGTAGGAAAAGCTAGTTTTCTGAGCGAAGGCATCGACCCGTCAATTATTGCGGCGCCATAAGCCGTCTCGCTACTCTGTCGCAATTCGCAGGACTGCAGGGATTGCTAAAATTTTATTGAAGACATTGTGCTAGAACAAAAACACAATATTTGTTCGTTTCAAGACGTGCATAACTCCAAAACAAAAAGCTCTTTTAATAATGACAGCTGTATTCTTCAGGACTGGCTGTACGAAGGTGTTGAAAAATTTTGTTTGTTTTTCGAAGGTGCTATCGGTACACCATCCTCAAAAAAACTGCACACAGTTTTTTTCGGCGGTATCTATTTCCTTAATATTTGTTTTTATGCATATTTATGCAAATACAAAACTCCATATTAGCAAGAGGTTGTTTCTGTGTGTGGGTCTGCTTGTTCACATTTTGTCACACACTTTCAACTCAGCATCCAAAGAAGCTTGGAAATCGAAGCTTTTATAGCATGTGTCCGCTCTGTGTGCGAATCTTTCGTTTTAAAATTATCGATCGTGTATTCACGTGCGGAAGCGGAAAAGAAATCACGTAAATTTGTTGACCGGAAAATGATTTCCGAAACCAAAGAAGACAGGGAGCTGAAATATCACAGAGAAGTTCCGCGTCACTATGTAAGCTGAACATTTTAAGTTCTGCTTTAATGCAAACCTACGTCAAGCGAACATGTCAAAATTGAACCGGCAAAACGCCAATTCCGGAACCAAATTGATAGTAGCTCTTTCATTTTACGATAATACCTGATTTCCATGTCTGAACACGTAGACGTAAAATGAATTTCGACATACGCCATTATTACGCATCCGAACACGCCAAAGAAGTTCGTGACAAAAAGCAATTTCACCGACCAGTCAAGCTTAGTTTGTTCCAGTCGAGTTATTTTTCGACACAAGTATCAACTGATATCCTCCAGCTCTGCTGTTTCGCTTGTCGGCCGTTTTTGCATGTATGCAAATTAAAACACACTATGGTAGAATCGTGTCTGTGTGATACGAATGTGTCTGTACAGATGAATTAATTTCAGGATCGCTAATGTCAGTAAGTTCAAATTTTGGAACTTTTTGCAGCCCCACCCTCCTCCCTCTTGCAGCTTTGCATGGGATCGCAAACACGCAATTCATATCGCCCTCTCCTTCCTGATCAGACTGAAACTAAGCTTAATTTTACGTCTGCAAAACCAAATATGAAGTGAAAATTTTGAAAGCTTTTGAGGTACTAATTTACCTAATTACTCGGGCAAACGATACGATCGAACAACAAACATTACTAATATCATGCCTTATAATCTTTGGTCTAAACCCATACTAATTTTATACGTTCACACAAGAAATAAGATATAACCTATGTGGCGACGTACCGGGCTTGCAAGTGCAAAAACGCATATTGCAATGACCCTGTCAGTGTGTGTGTGTGTGTGTGTGTGTATGTTTGTGTGTGTGTGTGTGTGCGTGTGTGT